CTGTACACTTTAAATAGGTGAATTTTATGGAATGTAAATTATATCTTAATAAAGCTCTAAAAACAAAGTCAAGTAAAATGCAAAATTTATAAAATGAATAAGTGAATAAAAAGTGTGATTTAGTATTGCTTTATTCATTTTTTTCCCCAAATGAGCTTTAGAATTATTATTTTTTAGTTCTTTTAAAAAAGTCTGTAGAAATATTGATTGTCATTGACTTGATCATAAATTAGCTTAGAGAGTTGATATCTTTACAATGTTATGTCTCAGGAACACTATTTAGGTTTTGACTTATTAAAATCTTTCATATCTTTCAATAACATTTTGAAGTTTTCTTTAAATAGATTGTACACATCTCTCAGGATATTGATTCTTAGGCATTTCATTTCTTTGTTATCACAAATGCAATCTATGTTTTTATATGATTACTAAATATAACTAATTTTTATTAAGCCACAAATGTTCTGATACATGTCATTTTATGAGTAGAATCGATTTTTTTACTGTAATGACTTAAAGTGAACATCAACTTGTATTTGGTGAAATGTGCTCTTATATCCTGTTCCTGGGACTGAGCAATTCTTTGGTTGATACTAGGAACGCAGCTTTGGGGTCAGCTACTTTCCTCTTCCAGCTCTGAGACTTCCTGTTTAAAAGCACTCGAGACCTGCTGACCCCGTTTCTTTCCAGATTTAATTATTCTTTTTGAAAGTTGGCTCTAACTTTAAGGGGATTTGAAACACAAGGCTCCAGTGGGGATGAAGCTTTAGACCTCAGATAACTATTCCTTTTTCTATTGAACAGCCTGGCAGGGGAACAATTTGCCCCTTGCCCTGAACACGGTCACTTGTTTTGATCATTTTTATTCTTATCAAGTGTGCTGCTGGCTCCAGAAGGCAGCCATCTGATGCCTGAAGTGACTCCCTTGTCTTTTCTCTAGTAACAAGATATTCCACCAGAATATGCCTGTTTGTGGAGCAAGGAACTACAGTGTGTATGGATGGCTACGGTTTAATAACTCCAAGGGGGGAAATACTAGGACAATAAGAATAGTTAGTATTTGTTGATGAGCTCTTCTGTGCCTTTTAATTTCATTTCACCCTTACAACAGCCCTAGGAGTAGTTACTTCCTTTTATCCCCAATTTACAGATTGAAATATGGAGGCTTAGGGATACGTAATTTCCCAAGATGGCAAGTAGAAAATGACTAATCTGAAATTTAAAACCAAAGAATATGATCTTAACCACTATTCCCTACTGGCTTCCGAGTGGGAGGTTCTCCTCTGAAATCAGACAGACCTGCCTCCCTGGCTTCTTAGCTCTGTAACCTTCAGCAAGTCGACCTACTTCATAAGCCTGTGAGGATGACATGAGATAATAAAAGTAAAGCGCTTAGGTGCTTGATTCACAGTGAGTATTAAATTAATATCAGCTGTTATTCTTAAAAAATGTATCAAAAATTTATCAAGTGCTTTTCCTGTACTAGGCCCTGCACTAATTTGGAGGGACTCTGAGTTAAATACTGCACATCCTGAGTCCTAAAGACCAGGGGGTTGGTAGATCTTGGGTGTGTGGGCTGAACCTGGCCTTCAGATATATTGTTTCTCCCACACATGCTTTAAAATGTTTGAATCTGTCGCAGACATTTATTTATTTATTTATTTACTGCTCACATTGTACATTAAGTACCAGTTTAACAGTTTCCCATTAGATTGAGGTTCCTTGAGAGCGGTGACTGCCATGTTCACTTTGCCTTGAAGTAAGTGCCAAGTTATTTGCTACATGAGTAATGAATAATATTTCTACTCAAATGATGTTTATCCATGATTATTGAACATTAATATCCAAATATTAGCCCTGGCCGGTTTGGCTCAGCGGTTAGAGCGTCAGCCTGCGGTCCAGAGAGACCCGGGTTCGGTTCCCGCTAAGGGCATGTACCTCGGTTGCAGTTTGTCCCCGGCCCTGGTTGGTCGTGCGGGTGGCAGCCACTCGATGTGTCCCTTCACATCGATGTTTCTCTCTCTCTTCCTCTCTCTCCCTCCCACTCTACCTGAACAAAAAATGGAAAAATGTCCTCGGGTGAGGATAAAAAAAAAAAAAAAAAAAAAAAAAAAATATCCAAATATTATATAATCTGATTTAAAAATCTTCAAATTTAAACAAGAAACTGATACCAAGGCTTTGATTTAGTTTTTGCTAAATCATTTTTGAAATTTACAGCTTTGGGGTGTTTTATTATAAAAAGCTGGTACTCATATACATAAACTAATAACTTAATGTTTATCATACATTTACTTCATTTTTTAGCTTGACTTTCTAGTAAATCTTTATTTAGCTTCATTGATTTTGGCTGCTGTATAAAGAGATGCTCCCTTGTATGGGTGATTTAAAAGCATAATTTGTCGATGAGCATCTCTTATTTTTCCTTTATTGGCAGTAGAGTTTAGTCTAGTATTAATGCGGCTTCCCTTTTTGTCATTTTGTAGTAGTCACCACCGAAGGCCCTCTTCAGCGTAATTCTAGGCTTCATATACAAGCAGTAAAGAATTAGCAAAAATGTTTAGTAAGTATTACAGATTTTGGTAGAATTTGAAAAACTTGTTTGACTTGAGGCTCCATATGCTGCATGGCTTGCAAAAAAAAAAACAAAACAAAAACAAAACCATAATGGCCTGTAAATCCTGCAGCAACAATGGTCAGTCCAACTGCTACCACTGTACAGGATGAGGCTCTGGCTCGGCTCCCCTGCTTCTGCTGAAAGCATGGTTCAACCCAGCCAGAAGCCACAGGTGCCAACTTCATGCCTCTACCGAAAAGCAATGTGGCCACCACTAGCAGGGACAAAATGTCCAGACCTAGTTGCAAACATTTTAAAATTGGGACATTTAAAGATTTTTATTTTTAAAAAATCTGGGTTTCCAGCTTCTGAAAACCAATAGAGCTGAGAACACTGGGCCTACCTTCTCACAGAATATAGTTTGTCATGTGGCAGCGCGGGCCACAGTCCCCACCACTCCCTATTGCATCCCAAGGTGAGGGAGTCAGTGGCCAGTCATTGTTGCAGTTGCACTGTTTTTATTATGATGGAAATAAAATGCTTCCTGTACCTATCATGTTCTCATAAGAAAACAAAAGATAGGTCATGGGAACTTCGTGACTTGAGAAAAATAGGTAACGTTTTTGTTTAAAAGCCAGGATTATTATCTTCTGATCTGCTTCACTTACTTTTATTATCTTTTTGGCCTCTGTGGGCGTTTGAGTTTGCATCCCCTGGTATGAACAGATAACCTCGGAATGTGATTAAGTGCCATGCTGGAGGCAAGCCTAAGATGCCTTGGAAGTTCCTGACCAAGATCATGTGCCAATAGTAGGTGAGGCCCAGAAGGACAGTGGCAGAGGTTTGGGTGGTGGGTGGAGTGGGAGATCTGTGTAAACAGATGGAACATCATGGGAAAGTGCTCAGAGGTAGTAGCAGCAGCCTCTGTCTCTTCTTTGATCTATTGACCTGCTTTTGACCTTCCTACACAGATTTCTTCCTAGGACAGTGGTGTCTCTGTCTCTCTCATTCCTGGGAGAGAAAAGATGACTGAACCCCTTCAGTGACCAAGCCCACCTAGCTCCATATACCAGCTGCACTCACACACCTAGGTTTCCTTGAGTCACCAGACACACAGGTATGCTTGGACATCACCGCTCAGATCTCATCAATACAGGCTTCTAAAAGAAGAGTCTTTACACCAATTACTCAGTTACACACCAACAATAATATAGGGCTATTTCAGAGGAGGGGCCGAGAATATTTTAGTGTTTAAATGATAGAAGTCAGAGTCTGTGTGGCTGGTGAAATTTATACCTCTGCATAAAATAAACCATCCTAAATGCCTGTTCCTGACAAAGGCAGAAGTGAGAGTGTTTCTCTGGGAGGAATCCAGAAAAGCAGAGAGAAGGAATCTAGCTGCTCTCAACATGAGAATGGAAGCCTGTCTGAATGGGCAGGGCCAGGTTCAGCCCATAGGAAAAGTAACTATCCTCTTTTTGAGGGCATCCGTTCACCAGAAAAACTAGCAAGGTTAGTCAACTGAAAGTGAAGAACTGGAGCCTATCCTTGCTCACAGGTAGGAACCCATTCCTACCAGGGGTGTGAGAGATTTGGCAGAGGCTGGGTGAAGGCTGAGGATGGAAGAGATTTTCCTAGTGGAGTTCAAAGTCAAGTCAACCTACAGTCAAGAACTCTGCTCTAAACCATAATTAAATACCACTCAACACTCACTGGGATGGATATTTTTTTTTAAAAGTATTAATGAGACTGCAGAGAAATTAGAAACCTTGTACATTGCTGGTGGGAATGTAAAATGGAGCAGTTACTTTGGAAAACATTTTGGTAGTTCCTCAAAATGTGAAGCATAGAGTTACCATATGACCCAGAAGTTCCACTTCTAGGTGTATTAAGAGAAATGGAAACATGTTCATACAAAAACTTGTATGCAATGTTCACAGCAGCATTATTCATAATAGCCAAACAGTGGAAACCACCCAAATATTCATCAACTGGTGAATGGGTAAACAAAATGTGGAAAACCCATATAATAGAATATTATTTGGCAATATGAAAAAATGAAGTACCAATACATGATATAGCATACATAAAACTTAAAAATGTTATGCTAAGTGAAAGAAGCCAGTCACAAAAGACCAGATGTTATGATCCCATTCATGCGAAATGCCCACCAGAGGCATACATACCTGGAGAGGCATATCTATACAGAACGCAGATTAGTAACTGCCTGGGGATAGGGTCAGAGTGGGAGGACAGGGAGCGGGGACTGCGAGACAGAGTGACTGCGAAAGGACACGGGATTCTTTTTGGAGTGTTGAGAACCTCCTAAGATTGGCCCCGCTCTGAGGGGGCGGGACTATCCCGGGAAGCTTGGCTGCGCTGTCCCGCGGGGCGGGGCCGCGGCGGCGGCGCACGCGCCCTGGCGGCTGTTACTCAGACGCGCATGGCGGAGTGTGTTCGCCTCTGCGACGTGGGCCCTTCGCGGAGATGTCGGTGTCGCCAGCAGCGTCGGGGCCGGCCGAGACAGCGGCGGCCAACAGTAAGCCGGATTCGGACTCGGGAGAGGAGCACGTCGCGGCGGGCGCGGCGGCGCTGTGCGGAGCGGGGGGCGGCGGGAGCGCGAGCCCCTCGCCGCCCCCGCGCAGCTCGCTGCTGGGGCTGCCTCCCGAGCTGCTGGTGAAGATCTTCACCTTGCTCCCCGGCACCGACCTGCCCAGTCTGGCGCAGGTCTGCACCACTTTCCGTCGCATCCTGCACACCGACGCCATCTGGAGACTGCGCTGCCAGGAGGAGTATGGCGTTTGTGAAAACTTGCGGAACCTGGAGATCATGGGTGTGTCTTGGCGAGACGTCTACGCGAAGCTGCTCCACCCCTACAGGCACATCTTGGGATTGTGGCAGCCAGATAGCGGGCCCTATGGAGGACTGCTGAATGTAGTGGTGGACGGCTTGTTCATCATTGGTTGGATGTACCTGCCTCCCCACGACCCTCATGTGGATGACCCAATGCGATTCAAGCCCTTGTTTAGAATTCACCTGCTGGAGAGGAAATCAGCCACGGTGGAGTGCATGTATGGCCACAGAGGGCCCCACCTCGGCCACATCCAGATTGTGAAGAAGGACGAGTTCTCCACCAAGTGCAACCATACGGACCACCACAGGATGTCTGGTGGGAGGCAAGAGGAATTCCGAACATGGCTGAGAGAAGAGTGGGGGTGGACGCTGGAGGACATTTTCCACGAGCACATGCAGGAGCTCATCCTGATGAAGTTCATCTACAGTCAGTATGACAACTGCCTGACCTACCGCCGCATTTACCTCCCGCCCAGCAGCCCAGACGACCTCATCAGGCCAGGCCTCTTCAAAGGCACCTACGATATCCATGGCCTAGAGATTGTCATGCTCAGCTTCCATGGGAAGCATGCCAAGGCCACGAAGATCACGGGTGACCCCAACATTCCTGCTGGGCAGCAGACGGTAGAGATCAGCCTCATGCACCGCATCCAGCTGCCTGACATCGAGAACCTCCGCAATTTCAACGAGCTCTCCCGCATCGTCCTGGAGGTTCATGAGCAGGTGAGCCAGGAGCAGCAGCGGCAGAAAGACAGCACCGAGGACAGCGAGGGCCACAGTTGGCAGGGTCCCGGAGAGCCTCAGCAGGGACCTGCCCAGCCCAGGGTCGGGCCACCCACTGAGAAGGTCAGGGAGCCTGGGGCCCCAGCTTTGGAGGGGCATCCTGTCCAGTTTGTTCTGCCTGTGGGCGTGGTTTCAAGTAACGAGGACTACCCTCGAACATGCAGGATGTGTTTATACGGCACGGGCCTCGTCGCTGGCCATGGCTTCACCAGCCCCAAGCGCATCCCGGGGGTCTTCATCCTGTTTGACGAGGACCACTTCGGGTTCATCTGGCTGGAGCTGAAATCCTTCAGCCTGTACAGCAGAGTCCAGGTCACCTTCCAGAATGCGGACGCACCATCCCCACAGGCCTTCGAGGAGATGCTCAAGGACATTCAGTCCCTGACTTCCTGACGGCCCCCTTCCCTGTGGGGGTAGGGTGGGGAGGGGGTGGCTTGGATGTCCTGGGAAGAGCAGCAGCATGCACTTGAGAGATTTGACCATCTGACCAGAACACCCACCTTCTTGTAGGTGTTTTGGCCCAGCCACCCAGACACTTTCTATAGAGTGGGCAACATACGCCTACATATTTGTCAGTAGCTGATGGGAAAGCTGAGCTGAGCATGTCTTATTAAAAAAAAAAAAAGAAAAGGTTCTGAAATTAGATTGTGGTGATTGTTAGATTGTACAACTCTTAATATAATAAAAAACACTGAACTATACATTTTAAAAGGGTAGATTTTTATAGTATGTGAATTATATCTCAATAAAACTGTTATTACAAAATATCTCTGCACCAAGTTTCCTCAGCCTCCCTCTGAGATAACTGGAAGGCACAGTAGACTTTTGCCCCCTCCCTGCGCGTGTGCGTGTGTGTGTGTGTGTGTGTGTTCTTTAATTCCACAGCCTTCCTTTACTTATAACTTCTATCTGCTTGTTTTTCTTAAGGTTCTGTCCAAGACCCATATATAATGTCTAGTGGTTATGCTCCATGAAGGTGGGCTCCCAGGTTTACAACTAACTACGTGTGTGATCTTGAGCAAGTTAGTTAACTTCTTGACCTCAATTTCTTTATTTGAAAGATAGGGATAATAATTGTATCTCTTCATAGGTTAAGTGTGAACATAAAATGACTAAATATATGAAGGCTGTTTAGAACAGTACCTAGTACAGTACATACATAGTAAATTCTGTATTAGTCGTTGCAATGATTATATATTAAAACCCTAGAATAGTATTTAGCACATAGTAAGTGTCCTATAAACATTAGATATTACTTACTCGTTTTTATTATAGAGGGTAATGGCTAACTTATCCAAGACTTTTTATGTTTTGCTGTTGATGAACATTTAAACTGTTTCCATTTTGGGATTATTTATAAATAATATGGTTTTGAATATTTCTGCATCACTTTATACATCAGGGGGGAATTGCAGAATCATAGGGTATTTGGATCTTCCCGTTTCCAGATAAATCCAAACTATTTTCCAGAGCATTTGATTCAGTTTATATTCCCACTCCCACACTTGATATGCTCATCTTGTAAAATTTTACTTCTGGTATGTAATGGTGTCATCAGTTTTAATTTGCATTTCCCTGATTACTAATGAGGGGGGTGCCTTTGATTTCATCTTTTGTGAAGTTCCTGTTCAAGTCTCTTGTCCTTTTCTTACTGAGTTAGATGTTTTTATCTTTGATTGGTGAGAATTCTTTTGGTTTGGAAACTAGTCCTTTGTCTACAGCAAGTATCTTTTGATGAACAGAAAATTTTAATTTCTAAGTAAGCAGACTTGTGAATCTTTTCTATTATGGTTAGGGCTCTTTGTTTCTTGATAAAGAAATTCTTCCCTGGTCCAAGGTCTTGACTGTGCTTTCCTGTTATTATCTTTTAAAAGTTTTATAGTTTTCCTTTTTTACTTAGGTCAATTTCACCTGGAATTGACTATTGAGTATGATGTGAGATAGGTATGCAATTTCAATTTTTCCTAAATGGATGCTCAGTTTTATCAGTACCATTCATTAAAAAGTCTGTTGTCTTACTGATCTGCAGGCCACCTCTGTTGTGTATTAAGTGTTCATATGTGTAGATCTGTTTGGGGCCTCTTCATTCTGTTCCTCTTATGGCAACTCCTCTTACCCTGTTCTTATTCAATAATATGTTTTGTCTTGGTCCTTTACTTTGGAAATCAGCTTATCAAGTTCCATACCCACCCCCACCCCCCAAATAAATAAATAAATAAATAAATAAATAAATAAATGTAAATAAAAACAGTTTTTCCAGTCAGTATATATCTCAGAATCTAATTGGAGGGTAGTGGGTAGTGACTCTTTCTTTTCCACCTGGAAGTGAACAAAGAAGAATGTAAATTTAGTTGCTGTTGAAAGTTGCCTTATTCTAGAGACATCACTATGGGTTTGAAAACAACAGTCAGAGAAGGGCAAAGCCCAGGGAATCACTCACTGAGAACAAAGACCATGACTTCTGAGTTCCTTTTACCTCTGAGTGCTGCAGCTCTGTCGATTTGACTTGGAGTTTTTGTTACCTGCCACCAAAAGCATCCTTAAGCTATCTTAAATACAGACTTGAATGCAGAAGCAAGTAAAAAGTCCTCTTCATAAAAAGAAAAGCAGCTGTCTCCAAAACTATGACTTTTATTTTATAGGAAGGCCATATGTAATAATAATGATAGTGATGATAGTTATAGCTAACATTTACCAAGCCAGGCACTGTGCTAAGATATGTATAGGTAATATATATCATTACATTTATTATCTTACTTAGTGACCATGACCTCCCAATATTGTTCTTTTCCTAGACCCAGACATGTTAAGTAACTCTCATAATGTTACATAGTTAACAGGATTCAGAGATAGGTCTGTCTGATTCTAACACACATCAATTTTTTTTTTTGTGTGTGTGTGTGTCTTTTACTTAGAATTCTTTATTAAATAGGGAAGATTAAATGCTTCCAAAAGAGTAAGAGTAAGGTTTTGGGAAAAAGGGAAGTCTACCTCACTAGTAGTAGGAATATAAATGAATATAACCTTTCTAGAGAGCAGTTTAACAGTATGTATTAAAATGTTTATATTCTGAAAATATTTATATTCTTTTAACTACTAATTCTACTTTTTAAAAATGAATAGCAGCCCTGGCCGGTTTGGCTCAGCGGTTAGAGCGTCCGCCTGCGGTCCGGAGAGGCCCGGGTTCGGTTCCCGCTAAGGGCATGTATCTCGGTTGCAGTTTGTCCCCGGCCCTGGTTGGTCGTGCGGGTGGCAGCCACTCGATGTGTTCCTTTCACATCGATGTTTCCCTCTCTCTCTCTCTTTCTCTCCCTCCCTCCCACTCTGTCTGTACAAAAAAAATGGAAAAATGTCCTCAGATGAGGATTAAAAATAATAATAATAAAAAAAATGAATAGCACCCCAAAATAAAGATTTTCAAATGTCATCTTTCATTTGTTTATAGCAGCAAAATTTTTAGTAGAAAAATAGTTTTGATTAAATGTTAGGAACTAAAATATTTATTAAGTCTGATGTTTTAGAATTTTTAATGACAAGAAAAAATACTATATTAAGTGGGGAAAAAAGCAGATGCAAAACAGCATTCACAGCAGGATTTCTATGACATATTACCGAATTTAAAAGGTGAGAAGGATATACTGTAAAATGATAGTGATGATCTCTGCAGGGTTGGATTATGGATATACATTTTGTTCTTTTCTGAAATCCAAGTTTTAACCATGAATTTGCAGAACATTTTATTTATGGAAATTTAAAACATATTCAAGGTAGAACAGAAAAATGAAGCTGGATGAATTCATCACCGGCTTTAACAATTTTCAACACAGAGCCAATCTTGTCCATCTTACCCTTTCCTACTGTCTCCCTCGGATTATTTTAAAACAAATCTCAAATGTCAATATTTCATTTGTAAAAATTGCAGCATGTGTCTCTAAAAGATAAAGACTCCTTTAAAAAAACAAAACACAGTACAGATAATTTAAAAAATTTTAAAAAATAATTAATTCCTTAGTATCATAATATCATTAGATATCCAATCAATGTTGGCATTTCCCTGTCTTAACATTTTTATGTTTTATATATTTTTAATGTGTTCTTGGTTTTGCTTTTTGAATATATATCATTTATCTGAATTGAGATCCAAATAAGTGTTCTCTATTGTGATTGGTTGATATGTCTCATATCTTTTTTACTTATAAGTTCCCATCCATCTCTATTTTTTTCCATGCAATACTTTATTGAAGAAACTAGGTCATTTGCCTTGTAGGGTATTCCATAGCCTTGATTTTATCTTTGTGTTGTGGTCCCCTTCTGTCCTTTCTTGTAAATTCTTCATTAGATCTAGAGGGTTGATCAGATTCAGGGTTTTGTTTTGCTTTGTTTTTGAGGTGGGGTGCAGGAAGGATAAAGAAACTTTGGAGATAGTGGTGTTTACTTCTATGTGGAAGATTCAAAGTCTGGTGGGCTTTCTTGTGATGTTAGAAGCCATTTATGATCATTGCTACGCCCATAAATCATTATGAATTACAAATTGGTGATGTTCTATCATTCCTTTTCCATTTATTAGCTGGAATAGTTCTGTAACACAGAATTTCCCCATGATCAACTATTTGATTACCATTTGGGACAGACAACAAAGAATGAATGCCTATTTTTGTTTGTTTTTCTCTTTAATGACTAGCTTTTAAAATAGGTGATTTCCTAGCATTCTTCAGAAGTGACAATTTTTTTTCAGAGTGTAATTTTAAACTCATGGAGTTAAATATACATGATATGCTTTAATCCATTATCTGATTGATGATCAAACTGTACCAGTTTTAGCAACTGGGAGGTTCTTCATATTGATTTCTGAATCCTTTTGACCCAATGCCAGTAGTCTGATAACATCCATGCTTTCCTTTAGGACAAGATATTCCAGGATCATCATATTCATTTCTGTTTTCAGATTTGAACTGACTCATTTCTCTAAATAGGTCTATTATCTTTTAGTGGGACAATCTGTGTACTAGGGGATAGTAAATAAATTATGTTTTATAAAAGGAATAATAGACACTGGATGATGAATACAGTAAAAAATAGGCAGAACTATAAAACTGTCACAGTCCAGGACCCCTTTAGAGATAGGGACACACTCCCATATACCTCAACAGGAATGTCCACTCTGTATCATGGATATGACCCCCAATTACCAAGAAAATACACTGTTCAGCAAACTTACTTTACAAAGATATGTAAAATTTAAAAAAAGTACATATGTGGATAAGTTCTAGTTATCTAGAAAATTTATGTAGATAGAATGCTTCATTCACCTTAACAGTGGTTCTCAGGCTTACGGTGCAGAAAAAAATCATTTAGGGAACTTGTCAAAATACAGATTTCTGAACCTCTCCTCTAGACCGTCTGAATCTGGGAGCAGAATGTATATTTTAATAAGGCTTAGAATTTGTATTTTAATAAGACTTCCAAGTGATTTTGAAGAAGATGGTCTATCAACTACCCTTTGCGGTACACTGCCAGATAGATTTACAGATAGACAAAGCAGGGGCAGGAGGGGATATGACTCAGAAGAGTGAACCGTGGAGCACAGTTCTGAAAATTAAACCACATTTAAAAAATTTAATGATTCTCTTTTTCTGATTTCAAAAGGAATTTATTTTCTGCGGAAAAAATTTTAAAAATAGAAAAGCAAACAGAAGAAAATAAAAA